AGCATGGCCAATATGAGCCCAAGTGTTTGGCTGCAGCGCAGGGATTATTCCTGCTATTAGCGACCCACAAGTTTAGTGCAAAAACGCATGTTGGCACCGGCAAGCCTGGTGCGTTCCAGCCTGGGTTTTGTTATTGCTGAAGATGAAAATTTTGCGAAAAATGTTTTTACCTGGTACTTTACACAGGATCGTTATCAGTATCGTGGCGAGGAGAGGCCAAGGCCATTGCGGGATGCCATTGCACCAGCCGTTGCAGCACCGCTGCCAGTTATAAACGTACCTGTAGAAGCACCAGCAGTGAGACCAGCTGCTGCTGATCAACCGCTTACGCTGCAGCAACGTATCGACAAACTCATCAACCTGACGGAAAGTCAGGTAAAATACGACAGTTATTTATTAGGTAAAACATGCCAGCTGTTTGTTAATGCAGCTACTAAGCAAAGCTACGATTTTCACATAATTCCTGAGAATCTGCTGCAAAACTGGTGTATTTTTAGAGACGTGATAACATCGGCTAGCTCAGGACTGAGAACTGTCTTGCCTCACCACCTTTTTTTGCCCGTGTCGAGCCTTTAAAACCGACCAATAGTGTATGGAATAATTCAGGGCCTGCACAAAAGGCCTGGACGATTTTTGCCGATTTTTCGATAAATGGGTACAAATTCATATTTGCTTGAATATACCAATACGCGCTTTTCTTTTTTAGCCTTGTTGTTTTCTCGAATAGTCCATCTCAGAAAATGCAGCTTGGTCTGAAATGTTTCCCTGTGTACTGCGATTACCGTTAATGTGATGCCAGGACGTACGAATAAGTTCGTCAGGGAATAGGGAGATTAGATTTTGCGGCCTTGATAGTACCGCCAAATTTTAGCTTTCTTAGTTGTGGAATCGAAACACTGCACATGCAGATATTCTCACAGGCATGACTTGGACTCTCCAGAATGCGTTTTCATCATTTTTGCAAACATGGGGAGGAGAAAAGGAGAAATTTTTGTAAAGCAGGTGTGGCAAAATGCCATTAGCTATTTGAGATATTACCCAAAAGCAGCAACAATACATAGCAAGTGCCCATCCACTACAATTCCGGACGGAATTATAGTACCACGGTTTTTGAACATGTACGGAGAAGCAAATTTTGGTTTATAAAACACGGTGCGTGATCAATGAATCACCTGAAATTTGAAACATCCCAAATTTGGGCCTGAGATCGCAGGACGGGGCACTGGACAGGATGCTGTTGAATTTGGAATCTATAGCTTCACATGCCCCGGACAAGGGGCTTTAAAGTCCTCGAACCGCGAAATTTGCGCACGAAATAACTTGATGCTGTGTTTCTGGCTTCTTGCTTTAGTGACTTTCCCTCGCAAATTTCAAGTTTTTAGATATTT